TTACATGCATAAGAAAATTTCATGGTGACTATGAGAGAAGGAGTCCAGTGTAGCGAGGAATGGTATTTGGATTCGGGATGCTCTACTCATATGATGGGGAGGAAGGATTGGTTTGTTAAATTCAACCATGCCATGAAAAACAAAGTGAAGATCGCAAATGACACCACTCTAATGGTCGATAGGATCAGTGATGTTTTGATCATGAAAAGGGATGGTGGATATTCCTTAATCAAATATGTATTTTACATTCCAGAAATCAAATGTAACCTTCCAATTATTGGCCAATTTCTTGAAAAGGGTTAGAATATTAACATGGAAAACAAGGGGTTGCACGTTATGGAAGCAAATGAGGTTTTGGCCCTTAAAACTTCTATGGCTGCCAATAGAACCTTAAAGGATGAGTTGGAGGTTATATAGCATAGATGTCTTGCTACAGCGGCAAGTCAAGAAGAGTGGATATGGCCTTATAGTCTTGGGCATCTCAATTTTTGAGATCTCAAAGACTTGCAAAAGAACGGAATGGTAACGGGGTTGCCATTGATCACCATACCGGATGAAATTTATGAAAAGTGTGTGCAATTAAAGCAAAATAAGGATAAATTCATCAATGATGCATGTTGTAGAACCAAGAATCACCTTAAGGTGGTGTATTTGGATGTGTGTGTACTAATGCAAGTAGATTTCGCTGGTGGCAATAGATATTTTTTCACATTCATCGATGACGATAGTAGAAATCTATGGACATACTTAATTGAAATTCTGGCATTGTAACACTAATATTGATGTCCTCACATCAAAACATAATGTCAAGAAATATGTTACAACATCTTCTGTCTGACAGAACAAATAAATCAAACTGAAAATAAATTGCAAAAAGATAACATCTGATGTTTTAGTACAACATGTCACAACATCTGTCAGACCATTTGCCTTCAATGTTAACTGGCTAACATGTTAGGACATCACACTCAACATCTTGTTGTGAACCATGTTTTAGCAAAATTGTTGCCAATCCTAAAACCATGGAACTTAAAATCTCCCCCTTTGGAAAATTTTGGCTAAAATAACCTTTGCACAATAATTCTGGAGAAGAGGAATAAAACCACAAACACAAAACACAAGCTACATGAAAACATGTAAACTTTGTACAAACTGCAAACAGAAAGATATCCGAGATAAAATGAAACTACAAGTCATTAGAGATTACAACTCCTTCAAACTCCAGAAATATCTAGAGATCAGATGCTAAGACATGTGATCTAACATCACATCAACACAGCTCCAACACAAACACCTCAGACAGATCTATTACTCCCCCTGTCACACATAACCAATACTCCCCCTTAAGGGAAAATTCAGATCATGAACTATCCAAGTTCATACATTAGAAACACATATATAAGAAGCCACACAAATTAGAAACACATCAGGATGAATGTCATAACATATGGTTCCACATCAGACAGTCATCATTGTACACAGACATCACATCAGTAGCAGCAGTGACAGCAAGCATGACAGACTATCATGCTCCCCCTAAATAGTTGCATACAGTAAGCAACAACAATAAACTACTTTTCCCTTAGAAATAGAACATTTTTGTCATAATGTTAGTCACCATGCCAAGACATGTGACATGACATCAGGACAAAAAAATACACTAACACTTCACTCCTCTTTTTAGCCAAAAATTGACAAATATTAGAGTAAATGTAAACAACAAGTTGGAATCACACAGTGCATTCAAGCATAAAAAAGTATTGGAAGCACAACATTGATTATAAGCCTCCCATTCTGTAAAGGCTATAATTCTTCAGCAGTACAAATTCCTGAAACACCCCTGACAAAGTGATGACCTGTCCCAATGAATTTGTCCAGCTGTGGAGAGTGAAAATCCTTAAAAATCATGATTGTGATCAGCTTGTCACAATATAATGTCGTGACATCCTATTTAACATTGTATTCTTTTTAGCATCCAACTCAATTTGGAGCAATAGCTTCCTCAGCATTATCCTTAGTCTTAGAGATAGACCAAAAAATACAATTATATTATTGTTGATCCAAGAGACGAAATTGTTTCTCAAGAAGAAACATCCTTAGAATTATAGAGGAGCCCACACAACGGAATTAACTCAGGATCCAAATAAGAACACCACACAGTTATAACAAAAACAAACTCACTTTGAATTACATAACTTAAGAATTCAACAAAGTACAGCTGAACAGCTAAACACAATGTCAAGACATATAGTCTGACATCACAAAGCAACCAGAGAAACAACTCCCCCTGAAGACCACAATCCACTACAGAGAAAAATAAATTCTCTCATACAACAAACATCAATGTTCTCAAGGACGTACATGGTAGAATGGATCATCATGCTTTTGTTTGGCGAGAAAAAGCTAAACCCTCTTGTTCAAACATTGATGCCACTTCACTTGATAAAGGAGCATCTTCTTCTAGAATTCATGTGTCTCCGGCATAGTCCTCCCAGAGACATGAGTCCCTTACTGCTACCTTGGAAGTCCAACATGTTTTTGTTATTTTTGATATTCTTTTAGGAGGCCCCTCGGACACCTCACTATTTTGTATGTATGCAGACCATGCTACTAGGAACATGTGGGTGGAGGGGTCAAATAAATTTGTATTAATCTTATAAAGATATTTGTTATAAGATTTGAAATTTATGGCGTTAATTTTTTTTTACAACATTGTGATTCATTAAAATGTATCACCATAATAGAAAGATTGCCAAGTTGTTGCAACCTCATAGAGCATGGTGTCAAGATGTCATTCAACTATCTGGATTGCAATATTTATACATGACTGGGTATACTTTTATTAACTATGGTTTATTGTCTCCTTTCATCAAGAGATGGCACTCAGTGACTTCTTCATTCTATCTTTTGATCAGTGAGATGTCCATCATACTTGACAATGTTTATCCTTACTACATCGTCAGATCAGGGGAAGATTATTAAACTACTTCAGACTCACTAGACCTGAGATACTAGAGATGATGGTGTAATATTTGAGAGTTGACTCAGATAATTCCCGACAGGAGATAGATGACACCAGATGATGTCATGCTAGATTTGGAACTTTGGAAAGGTTGTACATATATCATATGGATGTGGTAGTTCAGGTTGATAGTGATGATGCACATGTAACACATCATAGATTATGTGCATTGAGGTTATACTTATTGCATTTGGTTGGCACGTCCATATTTATGGACAAAAGTGCATACTATGTCGATGTCGTCTGCCTAAGATATTTCATTTACTTGGAGAGGATTCACGAGTATAATTGGGGATCTCTTATTTGTTTTACCTTTACTCAAAGTTAGGTGAAGCTTGTTTATGAAATACTAGACATATGACAGCAAGCAACACACTATTTATGTTAATATATTTGCACATTTACTGTGACTAATATTTTATAACACTTGCGCAACACCGTTATTAATATTTCATCTAAACTATTTTGAGACATAAATCCTCTAGCACTTTCCACATATCTTTGGTTGGGCATATGTGGATGACTACGACAAGGCTTTGCCACGTGCGTACTCCTTCATCCCTCTTAGAGGGAATCAGGCGACTGAGTCGTTCCGAGTTTATCTTGACTGCATCATGAAAGATGATATAAACATCATATCGTACGACGATCACCATAATATATTTCCCTTCGATAAGATATCGTTATACTCCATAAGGTTGACTTGTGGGTCACGATAGATGTATCCACATCTCTTTGAGCGAGTCATTTTCTAGTTCGGGTATCTATAGGGTATTCCTAGAGCTCCCGACGTTGTTCCTCCTCCCACACCCCGCCGCAGAGATATTTGTGGTGTACCATGATCATTTGGTCCTATAGGATATACATAGTATGTTAGCTCTTCGGTTATGGAGTACTGCATACGAGTACATCTAATGGTTTTTTAAAGTGTCACATTCTTACATGAGACCGAAGCAGGCTTGAGTGGGCCATGTTGTTGTTGTACTTCCAATCTGTCAGGTATTGTGACTATTAGGCGAGTGGGCATGGAGGGAGGAGAGTTTCAAGAAGGCACTTTTGGGAGAGCCATTGTAGAAGTTATGATGTCCGAGGCACGATATACCTTGTAGTACGAGAGGTAGAGGAGGAACTAGGGGGTCAGATATACTCAGTAGTTAACTTTTTCTTTTTATTTTGATAATTTGTATTTTGGTTTGTACTTTGTGAGCAATGTATTGTTTGGATTTTGACTTAATATATAATATGTTGATTGAATTACGTAAGCGTATGGTTTAATTGAATAACAATTATGTATATTTTGTATAAATGGCTTAAAATTTAAGCTTTATTAAAATATGTTCAACTTATAACAAAAATACTACCCAATAAGGAGATTTTTTGTCATAAGGGTTAATACGGGACTTAATTTCCATAATATCCATTGAGTTGTGAAATACCAATGTCATGAGTTCAAAATTTATCAAAGGGTTAGTCTAAAATTTAAACTATAGACTCACTCTTTCATAAATACGAAGGTTAAATTTGATACTATTTTTTAACAAAATGAGAGTGACTCACTTATAAAATATTTTGGTGTGTACATCAAATATCTAGAAATTAACACTTGTATTATTCTAAAAACATTTTTGAATTTTCTAAAAAATACTCTTCACAACTAAACTAAAGGTGGGAATAACACCCTCATATTCAAATGGTCTAAAAGCTTTTGTGGAAAACCAGGATCACATTGAAGCCATTTTAATGTAAGCTAGAGCTACAAACTTGCCCATTTCTAGCAATAATTTCTTGATATATGAAAAGAATACTCAAATTAGTTTTTTTAATAAAAGATTAAAAAAAACATTTTCAACATTAAGAGTCTAATAATTATGTGACTCTAAATGGATAAATCAAGTACTCTCAAGTTGGAATCCTAATCAAAGACTCATATCTTATTAAAAACTTTGATCAAGAAAAAGTAATTACAAGTGAGAATCACTTATTTGCTTCTCATGCACCTCACAAGAACCTCTACAAATTTTCTATACATATGTTGCTTCATATACATTCTTTGCACTTTCTTTCTTCCATTCATTCCCATTTTCTCTCTTGCAAATTTGTTTTCAAGTAAAAACCTTAGATTTTCTGCAAGAACATCATTCCCTTTGCGTCCAATAGGATGATGAAGACCACTCACACCATGCTCCACAATCTCCTTTGTTCCTCCAGCATCTGTTCCTAACACCTACACTCCAAATGATCAAATAGAATCGAGAAATGTCAATATCCGTTTTTTAACCATGTTACTGGTACGAAATATACACCAACCCTGACAATGTTTCAAAGGATTAATGTCATACCGCAAGACCAAATGCCATTGCTTCGATTGTCACGCGTCCGAAAGTTTCTCCCAATCCCTATTCATCATTTAAGCAAGTAAAAGGTTTTCAATAAGCACTTATCATAGAATAGCTTGTGCTACAAGTTACCTCTTAATAAACAGTTTTATCAAGTTTTTACCTGAGAGTTTATGACATAAACATCAGCAGCAGAGTAAAGTGAGGCAACATATGTAGTAGCCGGAGTCCACAAAACATTCTTCGATAAATTCGAATGTTGCGACAAGAAACTTGCGATACTCTTAACATATTTCACCTTGTTACTCTTTGATCCAACAGAACCAATCATGATTTTCAGAGATTGTTTCATTTTTCCGTTGCTCGACATTGGTAACAATTTTCTAATATGATGCCTTCTATCCCAAGTAACTTCCGATGAATTTTGCGATGATTCATTTTCTACGATTTTGTTTGCTGATTCGAGAAACAGTAGCTGACCCTTTCCAGGATTGATGCTACTTAGAGATATCACAAGCATATCGTTATCGTTCAAACCTATTTCTCTTCGTACCGATTCGCGCAAGAGCTTCCTCTTCTCGTCGATTTTCGCGGAAGTGCTCGAGGAATGAATACCGGCTGCGAAAGCAAGTTCATCATTAACAGACAGTGGAACAATTGCAGGCTGGAATTTGAGTCTTATTGTTTCTTCTTCGCACCATTTTCGCCATTTCTTGGATTGTGATTCGGAAAGAAAAACCAACGTCTTCACTTTGTTCAAGACGTGTTTTGATCGGTCGAAGTACTCTCTTCGGTTTTCCATAATCCACCAAACAACTTGGTTTGCAGCAGCAGGAAAATACTCAATATATTGTTCTGTAAACATACAATACAAAGTTGTAGAAAACGCGAAAATAAGAGCTTTTGTAAAAAAAGTACTTATTTATAAGCACTTATCATATAAGTCATTTGAAAACTTAAGAAAAAGTCACAAAAAAAAACAAGAAAGCTTAAGCAATCTATTCATACCAATCCATGAAGAACAAACAGCTGATCCAGCAATGACAAGATCAGCACTCATTGCAGCTTTGAAGCTATGATCAACTTTATCATCAACCACCTTAATTTTCCTCCTAATAAGCTCTTCCATCAAACCACCTTTTTTACTAAGAACAACAGCCGAAACATTCGCTTTACACCTCATCAACTCAGTTGCCAATTCCATCATCGAAAGTGGCGCACCAGTCATAGAAAGCTCATGAAATATCAACACAAATCTCTTTGAAAAAACAGCTTTTGCAAAATCACTTTTCTTGTCACATTTTCCACAACACTTGTCATTATTATTAGTACTCAATTTCAATATCCTATCCTCTAATAACCCAAATGGACCCACAAGAGAAAACCTCTCCAACTCCTTTTCAACTTTCAATTTTCTCTTCTGCTTATCTTTAACCTCACTTCTCAAAGATCTTCTACTTTTCCTTTTCCTTGAAGTACTTTTACCCTTTTCTTCTTTCTTGGCCAAAACAACAACTTTTTCATTATGATCAAATAAAGAGCTCTTTTTGACAACAAAATCTTGATGATTACTAAGATGAAAATCAAACCCTTTAATTTCTTGTTGCTTATCATAATCATCCCACTTAGATTGAACAAAAAAACCAAGATAAGCCCAAAGGGTAATCAAGAAAAGCCATAATACTAACCGGTTGCTTCCAATCCAAGAAAGAGGTACATTACTACTACTTTTGATTTCTCGTCTTCGAAATGAAGGTGAATGTTGTTGTTGAATTGATCTTGATGATGAAGAATGAAGTTGAAACTCTCCTCTATTGTTGTTGCATTCATCCATTTAAAGTCTCATTTAACTATGTGTTTCTTTTCTAAGATAGAATAGAATGATAGCAAAGAAACTCTTGATGCTATCTTGAATGAAAGAGAAAGAGAAAGAGAAAGCTTGGTGGGTCAACTAAAACAATTTGTTAAGATTTTAGGTGAAAAAGGAGAGATTAAAGTATTTCAAGAATTGTAATGACTTTGATGTTAGTTGAAATGTAGCATCATAGATGACATGTAGGAGGATATTTGTACATGACATGACATTGATAGTTCTTTTGTGTTTTTTTTTTGTTTTTTTGTTGATTGTTTGAATTTAGTAATTGATTGTATAATTTGAATACATATTTCAGGATTGCTATGTTGACACCCATTTCTACACCCTACACCTCAATTACTGTTTACAAATACTTGAACAAATTCCCCAGAACATGGTTAATAGTGTGTATTTTATTGGTTAATGAAGTAGTGAAAGTGGTTAATAAATTATAGGTAAAATAATTGGTTAATAATGTAGATTTTTGTGGTTAATGCAACTGTGAAGTTGGTTAATGCGCAATCTTATATTTGTGTTATAAAATAAATTTTAAAAATAAATATTTTTTTAAAAAAAAATTAATATTTTAAAAAAATATATTATTTTAATAAAAAAAACACTGTTCACCGTATAAATACGGTGAATAGTGCATACGGTGTAAGTATTGGGTGTAGAAAAGGGTGTAGAAATAGCATTTTTCTACATATTTATTTGAATATGTATAATTTAAAATTTAAATTTAAAAAAAAAACATTTTGTTATGATAATTTTGTAATAAAACATTATGTTAAGAAAGAAAATGTTGATATAATTGTAGAGCTTGAAAGTACTAGCACTAGTATAATAGTTTTCATAATAAAAAATGGTAGTGTAATTAGGTAGGCTATTTAGTTAAATAAAGGAATTATTGAAAGAAAAAAATTAACAAATACTATATATATTTTAAATTTTGGAATATTCTCTCAGTTTCATATTATAAACAAATTTTATTTTTTAGATACATTAAATAATTAATATATATATATATATATATATATATATATATATATATATATATATATATATATATATATATATATATATATATATATATATATATATATATATATATATATATATATATATATTTATATATATATCAGATACATTAATTATTTAATATATTAAAAGATAAATTTTGCTTATAATATAAAACAGAAGAATAAGTAATTATTAATAAAAATTGAAGACGTTTCATTTCCACAAGAGTGACATCTATATATATATATATATATATATATATATATATATATATATATATATATATATATATATATATATATATATATATATATATATATATATATATATATATATATATATATATATATATATATATATATATATATATATATATATATATATATATATATATATATATATATATATATATATATATATATATATATATATATATATATATATATATATATATATATATATATATATATATATATATATATATATATATATATATATATATATATATATATATATATATATATATATATATATATATATATATATATATATATATATATCAAGATTTATTACAATATTCTCTTTAAATTATTAATTTTGAGACTTTTTTAATAATTTTTTACATTTTTTTATATTTTTAATTATTTGACTTTCTATCATTTGATATACTCTTTTTTCTATAAAATTTATCGGTGTTCTTTCTACAAACTCAAATTACATAAATTTATTTTCACCATTTTATTTATCATAACTATTACTCCAACACTCTCTAAGATTATCCGTTTTAATCTTATCATATTTAGTCTTATTATACATTGCAATATTGTCATCTCTACTACATTTACTTTATTTGTGTATTGATTCTAAATAGTCAAACATTTTGTCATACAACATCGTAGATTTTATGTCACATAAAATGTCTAAAACCCGCTTCTGTATCAGTCAATCAACTTGAATTAGATTATTTACATCTTCTTCTATTTATTCATCGTTTTATATTACTGACCCAAGATATTTAAAATATGTGACTTGCGGGATGATATGATCTTCAACTTTTACATTTATGATTGAAAAACTTCTCTTTTTGTTAAACATACATTCTATATATTATGTCTTACGTCTGACGTCTTGGATGTGTGTTCCATTAGTACAACCAAATTAAACTAAAAAGGCAGGAGTTTATGGTTGAACCTTGATGCAAAGATATTGTAATAAAAAAATCGTCTCTTTCCACTACATGTCTGCACATTAGTCGATAATTTTACATACATATCTTAGATAACTCAAATATATGTGCGATCCTAACCCCTTCCTTCTTTAAGACTTTCTACAAAATCTCTCTAGACACTCTATCATGCGCCTTCTCCGAGTCAAGAAAAATTAAGTATAAGTCTTGTAGGTCCATATTATATTGCTTCATCACACGTCGTAGTAGATTGAACGCTTCCATGGTCGACCTCCTATACATAAAACCAGGTTAATTCTTAGTGGCTTGGTCTCTTTTCTTAGTATTTGTTCATTCACTTTTTCCCATAATTTCATAGTATGACTCATAAGTTTAATTTTTCTTTTTCTTATAGATATAAACTAAAGTACTTTTTCATTCATCTGACATATATTTTAACCTCATAATTTTATTAAAGAATTTGGTAAGTCACTCAATACCTCTATCACCAAGAATTTTTCACACTTCAATAGGCATGTTGTTTTGTCAACTGCCTTACTTTTACAGACTTTCTTTCAACGATTATTTTGCCTCTTATTTCTGAATTTGACGATAATAATTATAATTTTGATCTTCTTCTCTAATGCCTAGTCTACTAGAGTTCAATGAGATATCATATTTTTTATTAAATAAATTGTTTCGTATTTTCAATTATCATTTATATTTTTATTCCTCTTTCTAAAGATTAACATAATCCCTCAAAAACTTGCATTCTGATACTTTTTCCAAGCTTTAACATTTTTACATGTGGTTCTTTAAAATAATCTTTTTTTTACTTTAACTTTACTATGAAATTTTCATTCTACTACCACGATTATTTATCCTAGATATAAAATCTATTGATTTTCTCAATAATTCTTTAGCTACTTTTCTAATCTCTTGAATCATCTTATTTCACATATCATTTACATTTTCGTGTGGTTATCCAAACTCTCCCTCCAATATTGTGTTGAAAACTTGTGTTTTACTCTTCAAATATCACCACTTGATTTGTGACACTCCATGTTACTTCTTCTCTTTATTTTCTTCATAATCATTACATCCATAATCAATATCTTGTTGAATAGTCAAGTTTTCTCTCAAAATAAGAAGAAAAAAAAATATTTAAAAACATGTCACATCACTCTTATATGTGTTAAACATATTTGTCTCTTTTCATAAATGTGGTAATAGCTATAGTAAGATCAAAAATCAAAAAAAATTCTAACATGAATTTATTCTCTCCATCAACTTTCAAGAGACCATATCTCCGTGCACGATCTCAAAACCTTTTGTTACACTCCCTACATGTTCACTTAAATCACCTCCTAAAAAAAATTTATTTCATAGAATATAAGTAAATCTTTTAAATCCTTCCAAAATTTTACCTTGAACCTTTTGTTACGCTCCCTACATGTTCATTTAGATCAACTCTTAAAAAAAGTTCCTTTCATAAAATATAAGTCTTTTAAATCCTCTTAAAATTTTACCTTTAAATATTGTGCTAACCCAACCTTAAATTCATTAAGCACTAATAACATTAAAGAATTTTGTTACACTACAAATTTTAAGATTATGATTTGATCTCCTACTCTTTTAATAATCTTTGACTTATTTTCAAACTCTTTTAATAATCTCCGACTTTTTTTCAAACCTACAATATCCTTATTCTACTCCTATAATCCACTCATTTTTCATTTTTTTCAAACCTACAATATCCTTATTCTACTCCTATAATCCACACTCATTTTTCATTCTAGTATACCGAAGTTTAAATCAAACTCGTAGTATACCGAAGTTTAAATCAAACTCGTATAATTCAAGTCATAGTGTTTCTTACCAGCAATAACCTAGCGCACATTATTTCATAGTTATGTTAAAAATTCGACAAAATTTTATATTGACAATCAATTGCTCAGCTATCTAATACATGTCTCTCTTTTTAGCCGAATCGACTATGCATAACAAAGCTAACAAATTTATATTGTTTTCGAAAATTGAAAGAGAGGTTAAAGAGATATATTGGATCTATTTCTCCCTCATGTTGATTAGTAAAAATAAAAACAAAAATGGTAAGTTAGATTTCTTTTAATTTTAACTTACCAACAAAGAAGTAATAGACCTCATAAATGCATTATCTAAGTTATTGCATTTCATCTCCAATGAGTGGAGTCTCTCACATCTTATTACTATGTTAAAACAAATACATATTTTAAAATTTAAAAATATTTTCACAAAAGAGAATAAATTTCTCAATCATGAAATGAGCTTTTTCTCAATCATGAAAAATCATACACTGGTGTTGGAGGACCTGATTTAGAGACAATTTAGCAGAGAAAAGACATTCTAGCAATATATATAACTATATTCTGTTTTACATTATATATCAAACTATAATCATGCAACTCTTAATACCAGTGACATGTGATACTCTACATATAGAGGTCTTTGAAGACAATATATGAAATAATTTGAAAACATCAATTCAATTAAACCAACTAAAATCAAAAAGAAAGAAAATTCTACTAAACTTTTCTCACTTACGCTTATAGTTACCAGTACCATTAAATTCACATCAACCAACTACTATTAGTAAGAATATCATTCAATCACAAAGAATAGTAAGAATATCATTCAATCACAAATATAACAGAACTCAAACTACAATTTATTAAATCACAATAGGTGAATTCTTTAACCAAAAACAATTGAAGTTGAAAAGGAAAACGATGCATTGATTAAAATTGTCACAAAA